AGTATTGTAACGGCCAAAGCGGCCAAACAATTGCACTTATAGAGCGGGTTGTACGTGGGCTGACAATTGCTTTTACTGCGTTGTCCGCAAAGCAGCAACTTTTCTGCGGAGAGCCGTCGTAAACCGAAAACAGCTAAAATGACGATGCGTCGGGTAATCAAAACATCGCTAATCTAGCTGTTTATTATCAGTTTTACATTCCCAGCGGCAAAATTACCTTCGTTCCCACGATCAGCTCGTTGTGCGAGCCGCCTGCGCCAGAACCCGCAAGTTTATGCGCGCTAGCTCACGAACCAACCACAACCATGTGCCGTTGCTGCTGGAACCCCACCTCGCTGAGACATATAGTGTGATGTTATTACGGCAGATGGCTCGATCTCCTCTTATAGCTACGGTACCAAAACTTCTCGCTAAGAAATAAACGTGGATTTTCGCACTGACACTGCATGTGCGTTATGTTTACGACTGATCGCGCAGTCTACAGGGAGTAGAAATTACATTGATCAAATGCATTGTATCAGGAGTTAATGAGACAAAGTTCGTCTCCTGATTGTATCAGAGCTCAAGTGAAGTACAAGTGAAGTACTAAAAAAAACGCCGAAAACGGTCTCTGTGGCTTATACAAACTAGACAGAGGGCACTCAAAGAGAGTGCATACCTCCGCGAGCGTGTAACATGCTGGCATAAACAGCTGGCTCGCTGCTGGCTGCTGCTGACTGGACGCCCTAAAGCGAGCTGCTGCTGACTGGACGCCCTAAGGCGAGCTGCTGCTGACTGGACGCCCTAAGGCGAGCTGGTGCTGAATCGATCGCGCCAACGCGTGTAACATGTATACATGTGTATAACAGCTGGCTCGCTGCTGGCTACACACACACACACGAACACACACACGAGAGCGATTACATTACCTCCCTGCAACTCCGTTGCGCGGAGGTAATAACGTTCAATATCAATTCGACCCCCTTCCCCGCTCGCGCGCGTGCGCGCGTGCGTGTGTGTGCGTGCGTGTGTGTGTGTGCGTGCGTGTGTGTGTGTGTGTGCGTGCGTGCGTGCGTGCGTGCGTGCGTGCGTGCGTGCGTGCGTGCGTGCGTGCGTGTGTGTGTGTGTGCGTGCGTGTGTGTGTGTGTGTGCGTGCGTGCGTGCGTGCGTGCGTGCGTGCGTGCGTGCGTGCGTGCGTGCGTGCGTGCGTGCGTGCGTGTGTGTGTGTGTGTGTGTGAATAATACTCGGTATAATGTGTGTGTAATATCACTCTATACGCGCACGCGTCCCAGATATGGGGATATCTGTGACATTCCTTTCTCACATGTAACGGCGCCGATACTACGCGCGCTGTCAGTGGAAGACGACGGTAGCTGATTCATTGTTTTCTGTCAGAGACGCGGTTTCGTGTTTCCAACTGGCCGCGGTCGTCTGAGACGCTATCATGATCAATGGTGGCGCCAATCGACGTCAAAGGACACGACGGTTGTATTTGTGAGCTAGCCGAGTGATACTTGGACGCGGTGTGAGCGTGTTAGATGATTTCGTGTTCGATGGAGTGGGATTCTCATACATGCATGCATGCACACACGCACCGCTCTCGATTATCACCAAAATTCAATTAATTATTAATATGCAATTACTAATAGGAGTTTTTTTCACTTGCGATATTATTCTTGACTCGATACCACGGTTTTACAGACTAAGGATTCTCATAATATCGCGTCTCTATATGGTTTGCCAGCTTCATACGGAGCCAGTATTTATAATGATTTATGAAACCCAACGCACAAGAGAGCTGTGCGTGTTTTGATTAGAATGCTCGGCGTGATTATAAATTTCATTAGCTGATGTGAAACGGGGAATGAGCGCATAAACACCAAATTTAAATTATAATTGTGCAATATTTGTGCAATCAAACATTTAAACTTCACAAGCAATTATGCTGCTAATAATACCAGAGGGAAATCGTACTATTATCGGATTATACATTATTACAAACGCGAGGAAAAACGAAGCACGCAATACGTGGAATGTCAGTGCAAGGTCAAGGCCGTTCAACCGATTCCGTAAATGCGTCGATGTTTAATGCCAGCAGTGCAGATAAACCACTCTGGCAACGCAGTTATGAGTGCAGCATCACAGCCTAGCATGTTCCTTTATTAAATGACGCACGTTCCGCTTATAGCGGCATTAGCCTCATGAGAATGGCTAAAGCCACGGGCATACACGCACGATTTACCTTACTGAATCCCAGCTCCAAACATCAAAATGTCAGCGGCCTAATTTGTTTTAGTGCTATTTACGTCGCCAGGGTATGCAAAGAGAATATATATTTCTTGACAAACTACATGTTGGACGGGTAAATGCATTCTATGACGGTCCGGCACAGCTAGGGCTTCACCAGTTGGGCACAAACAGCACCGGGTAGATTGCAAGGCAACCTAGGTAACAATGGACATTGGAACATTTAAAAAACAGCGTATATCCTAAATTTCAACAAAACAAAATCGGATTTTAATTAATTCAATGCTTTAAAAAATCGTTATCATCAAAATGCGTTTTGATGTTGATATGCTGTTTGAGAATAGCTACTTTATGAATACTGGCAGTTTCACAGTGAGGCACTGCAAATCGTGTCCAACCAAATTATGATGTAGAATCAAGTTGCAAGTGCTTGACGCATGGCATGACGTAACTGTGTTCCCATTACAAGTGCCTGACACATGTTCAGTAGGACATCTCTACAAAAGCACAATCCAAACCGGGTTCACTAGATTTTAGGTACTCGACATCAGGAACCTGCATATATGACATGACGAAATTTTTCCTGTAAAGCCAGGGCCAACCCGGTTCTGCTATAAGCTTGAAGCCCAGCACGTGCCATTCAATAAAACACACGTACCCCACCCATCGACAAACATAGTTGTAGTGGATACACACACACTGGGATGATACACATGCATTTCGCATCTAAAATTAGATCTCAGGGAAGCAGCGTACGCGTGAGTTCACTGGCACAGTATATGTGCGGGTGCGAATGTACAGTGAAGCCATTGCTACGATAGGGAACTGAAGCTATACAGAGCCTGCCAGTCTTATTAGGCCGCTTAGGAATGGCGATTACTACAAGACAAACAACATCTATTTAGTAGTCACCATGCTCAGAAAACCATACATGTGCCTTTACACCGACCCCCATTTCAGCAAAAATCTACCACCAAATCTGTCAGCATGCCATATAGAGCTTACACATATGATACACTGGTATATTCGCCAAGAACATGTTTAACTCGCAAGGCAATCTTGAATCAAACATCGAGTAGGCTGGTGTAGAATCCATAAGCTGATGTGTTGAAATGAGACCACGATGTATCACGCGCCACCATTTTGTTATTTTCTGCAGGGCTTACTCTCTACAACCCACTTAAAGAGTCGAGCAGCAGTAAAATCTACCTTGTTCATCGCAAAGAAAATGGTCAAGAAGCCGTTATAAGTTTCGCCTGTTCGCGTGCGCACAGTAATGATGGTAACACCAGCAAAAATAGGATTCGATCATAATTGTGTAAAAACGAGTCTGCCAGCTGCTGCGATTTCTAATAAACTTTTATGCGTAGCTATCGGTCTATCAGACTATGCAATGAGGGAAGGAAGACTAGAGAACGAAGAAGACTGCAGCGTTTACGGCGCCATCGTGTTTAACAGAATTGTGATAACTCAACAAATATTAACGGCATTGAATTAAAATATTATCAGGGTTAATAATTACAAATTTGTCATTATTAACCCCTGATATTATTGAATGCATACATATACATAATTATCATGGTATGAATATTTCAAATATGGTATGATTATCATCATTATTAGGAACGGACGCACTCATACACGAACATCTCCTTCCACATACTCGGCACACATTTATAAGATGATGCCCCAATTATATGGGGTCATACATGATTACACACAATTTAGTTCATAACAGTAATTGGGCTCTCTTCCATCAACGCATATCAGTAGAGCATCGGTACGTAGTAACACATGGCAGCAAGAGGCGGCATGTGCGAGCTGTCTGATCGCGTTCCGGTGGTGTGACATGTGTGAGCTTGTAGGACATCACAGTTCCAAACTACACCAACAATATATTTTGGATGGTTACACAGAAAACACGACCATTACACCATCCAACTTCTATACTAGTATATAAGTTTCCACACAAACATTACTAATATATACGTTTTAACGAATCCGAACTTATTTTTCTTGTTTTCTAATAAACATTGCCTAATTTTTCTGGGTTGACACATGCGACATATGTTTAGCAATAGAAGAGAGTTATGCTATTAGTTAGTATAGCATAAATCATAAAGGCAACACTCTCAAGCTATTACCAAGTTTCATGAATTTATCTGCAGCAAGAAAATTTGCTAAACGTGCAGAAGAATGTACAGGGGAAATATAGGATGCATAAGAAACAACGTAATTTTACAACCAGAATATATGATGAATGCACACACAGAATGGCAATTAAGTTCACGACTATCACTATAAAAAAAATTGTCTACGTCTGGTGGGTGCGTAAGCTGTTTTGCTTTCAATGAAACTACAGGTACTTTCAGTCATCTGGCAATTCTGTGACTTCCCATGGAATATTTTAACCATGTGAGAGTTCTATTGGAACAACTGGTGTCAGCAAGCATTATTATTGAGTGTGACAAACTGACACACGTGCTCAAGTTCAAATTAAAATTATAATAAAAATTGAATCTAGTCTTTGGTAAAGAAACTGGAAGGTGTACAATGGTTCTCAATCTGTGTGTAAATTCCCAAAGTGAAGACCAAAACAACATTGCAACCAAACCCCATAAGGCAGAATATTGTGCCACTAGCCAATGAAACATAATTGGCTTAATCCTTTACCTTAGCCAGCAGAAACTAGCTGCAGAACTTTAAGAGTATATATCACGCTATGGGTTAAACTGACTAAAAGATCTCAGCAAGGGAAAAAGTAGCGGCTCACCTAGTTCCTCCACGAGTCGCAGCATCACTCCACCCACGTGGACATCACCGGTCACGCGCAATGTCCGAGTAATGTCCAGGTCTGTGATGTGGATGGTCAGCTGCCAGCTGCCATCGATCACCATCCCATCGGACATCATCTTGCCGGCGTCTGTTTGATGCTAGGTGTTTACTAGCCCTCGATTGCCAGCCTCCCGATCTTAGGGTGAAATATAATTTCCCATTAGTTAAATGACATATGCAGGCAGTTCTGCATCATGTATGTTCATGCCTAGTGATTATTGTATATTTGATACGATCCCAGCCTATGCTAGTCTAATAGATGTCATCCTGAAACATAATACATTGCAGAATGTGATAATTTTTCTTAATCATATTCATAGGTCAGACCACAGGCCCTTGGAGGCTCAAGTTTCAAGAAGAGTAAAAGAGCGAAGCCGCTTCGCTCTTTTACTCTTCTTGAAACTTGAGCCTCCAAGGGCCTGTGGTCAGACATATGAACATGGAATTAAATAGATAACTGACGAGATGTTGCTGGCATGCTTGCTGGCCACCTGGAATGAACTCTTTACTGAGAAGCAATATGGACCACAACAAAGTATATATAGGTAGTGTGTAACTAGGGACACCATCTCATCCCATGTTGGCTAATGGCTACATATGACGCTGTGGCCTGTGCGGCGGCACGCCAACGTGTGTCTTAGAAGCAGAATTTACTCACGATTCATTGATTGCTTGCACTTGAAATCATATGTCATACATATCTTGTTGGGCAAAGTGCATGAGGGCACATTATACGATCAAGAATATTATTTGTGGTAAATAGATAAGCTATCAATTTCTAACGTGATAGTCAAACTATATTAGGGCAGTAAAAATACAATAAAGTAATTGGTGTCTCGCGTTGATTAAATTCACAATGACAGATCAACACTACGGGTTCCAGTAGCCCGACAAGGCTGTGCGACTGATTGTCTATAGACCATTCTTAATTATTATTCATGACCTGGGGTCACGCACGAAAACGAGGCTAAGCTAAGCAACTTTGTAAACAATGGCTGCTCAGGCAGGCACGCACAGAGGGGGTACACGCACGTACACGCAGATACACGCACGTACACGCGGGTACACGGAGATACACGCACGTACACGCGGGTACACGGAGATACACACACTTACATGCGGGTACACGCACGTACATGCAGGTACATGCAGATACACGCACGTACACGCGGGTACACTGAGATACACGCACGAACACGCGGGTACACGCACGTACACGCGGGTACACGCACGTACACGCGGTACACGGAGTACACGCACGTACACGCACGTACACGTGGGTACACGCACGTACACGCGGATACACGCACGTACACGCATGTACACGCGGGTACACGCACGTACACGCGGGTGCACGCACGTAGCTAAGCCTCGTTTTCGTGCGATGACCCCAAGTCATGAATAATCATTAAGAATGGTCTATACAGAAGTCTGACTAGGGTCTTCTAACCCTAGCAGGGAAAAAATTTCTATTTTTCCACGAGAGCTCTTTTTCAAGTGTGTGAAAAAATAGCTCTTGTCCAGATAATTTTACGCGCGAGCTATTCTTGAGCCTCACGCGCGAGCGATTTCGGAGGTTTGAAGAGCGAATCGCTCATTGTTCCCGTGTATTTTTTCGAAGTGGCTATATGCCCGGCAGCCGGGCACGGTCTTCGATTTCCTAAAACGCTGTGGCTATATGTCCGGCAAGCCGGCCCACGTCTTCGTTTTCCTAACATGCCGGCCAGTTCCTAACCCTAACTTCTTAACCCTAACCCTAACCAAAACCTAACTCTAACCCTAACCGAACCCTACCTTAACCTAATCCAACCCTAACCCTTGTTTTACTGAGACTAACACTAAAGCAAATTACAAACTGCCGCGGCATTTTAGGGCAATCGAGACCGTGCCCGGCCAGCCGTCAGATAATGCGGCCTGCCGGCAGCTATAGCCACTCTGTTTCCTAAATGCCGCGGACAGTTTTAATTTTCGGTGATTCCTCAAGTAAACAGGAGGGTTAGGGTTAGGGTGCCGGCTGCCGGGCATATAGCCACAGCGGTATTTTTTACCCTGACGTTACCCTAGCAAGAACGTTTCTTGGAGCTACGGGTTCCAGCAGAAAGGGTTTTCAATCTACTATTAACTACAGCCTTGTTTAGTCTGTGTTGTGAGAACGCTGAAACATACATTACTGAACATATATTGCTCACCTGTGCAGCTTTTGTCTTATCGGTGACTCTAGGGTTGCCTTCTTCTAATCGCACAACGACTGTCCAAATAGATGAACACATGTGCACGGGGAACAAAATGTACACTGTACTGTATACATTGATGCACCTCGTTCAATCGTGAAAGGTTGATCTTTCGCTAGCACTTTTCAAGTTTACGCAGTATTTCCCGTTAATATTAATGAAGCTGGCTGTTCTGACTACAATAGTTGATCACACAGGCATGCCAGTATCCCTGATAATTGTGGTAACTTCAATAATACAACACAAATACAAAATACAAAACGACGCGGTTCCACAGATCCGAGGCCCCAGTAAACAGAGTAGAGCAGCTACCGCGCCACCTGTCGGGATAATGTTGCATGAAAACGGGAACATAACGAGAATTCATCCTTGATTTATAGATATATGATCAATAGATATTGATAGACTCCTATATACAGGCCCGTAGCCAGGGGGTGGGTTTCGGGGGGTTCGAACGAACCTCCCTCCTCCAGAGCCCCCCTCCCCCAAACAAAAAATTTTTGTTTTTGTAAATTTGCCAAGAATTTACCTAGGTCGCTCCATTTTTGTTGCTAATAATTGCCAAAATTCCCATCGTGCGGGAGGGTGAACAGTGAAACACCCCCTCCCAGCCCTCCCCCCGCTCGGTCGCTAGGCCTCCCTCGCCTGCGTCGCTTCGCGACCCGCCAGGGGCGTGTACAGGGGGGTCCAGCACGGGAGTCCGGAACCCCCCTTGCTCGCGCAGAAAACGCATCTGAGGGGGTGTATTTTAAAAAATTTCTGCGGGAGGCCCCTCAGACCCCCCCTTCGCGTGCTCTCAACTTTGGGTTACGGTTAGACCCCCCTGGGCTACAAATCTGTACACGCCCCTGCGAGCAAATATGCCAACATTGAAAACGAACCCCCCAATATAAAGCTGGCTACGGGCGCTGTATATATATATATCAGGAGTTAAATATATATATATATATATATATATATATATATATTATATATATACATATACATAACAGTATACATATACTATATTACATATACATTATACATATACATATACGTATACGTATACGTATACGTATACGTATACGTATACGTATACATATACATATACGTATACATATACATATCAGTATATGTATAACGTGATGCATATACATATATATGAATCAAAGAGCCTAATAATACCTAAATAATAAGGTATTATTAGTCTTGATATAAACATATACATATACAACAATATACATATACATATACATATAATACATATACATATACATATATACATATGACCTAACATAATACATATTACATTATACATCTTATGCATATACAACGTTATGCTATTAATGTACATTCAGCAAGTTGCTGATTTATCTTGAATTATATGCTTAAAAGCGTTAGGCGGTGCACCCGAACTTGCGATCGCGCCGGAACTCTTTGCTGACAATAAGTATTAACAACTTCACACTTATTCCGCCCAAAACGCGTGCCCTTGCAACATTTGGCCTAAGCTAACTGAACTGAACCTAACTTTGATGTTAGGTGAATTCATAAAAATTTCTTATCAAAAACAAATTACTCAGTAGAGCCACATGGAATTGCATCTGGGTCTGTTCGTTGAGAACATACCAAAGCAATACTGCAACATGCCAGCCGTTTTGCCACATATTCGCTCCGCGAATAAGTGCCAGAATTATGCAAATTATTGCCACTGTAAGCACGCATTCATACACCTAACAACCATCTGTACTTGAGAAATTCGTCCTATTCGCCTGAGTGATTGTGCCTGCTAATAGATATCTTCATTCAGGCCAAGTGAGTTTGCGCAATAACGGGGACAAAACTGTCAAGTATTATTCCAGCTAAGTTTCCGCGTTCCGAGCCACGCGTAGTTCCGCGCTGGGTTCCGGTTCCCGGCCAGCGAACTTAACAAGTTAGATTCCACGTGCACCCTATAAAAGGTAATATAATAATTAGATAATAATATCTGTTTATATTATATAGATCGGTGATACGTTCCCTGACTCCGGCCAGAGATTTTGCGAGAATATCTCTCTCTCTCTCACACACACACACACACACACACACGCGCGCGCGCGCGCATTCCCCCCCCCCTACACACACACACTTACACGCACGCACGCACGCACGCACGCACGCACGCACGCACGCACGCGCACACACACGCGCGCGCACACACACACACGCCCACGTACACATATATTGCTGATACATTTATATATCGTGACTGATAGACTATAATTAGCTCGTAGCATAGAACATTATCTAGATTACCATGCATCGATCTAAATAATATAGAAACGCCAGGATTTATTTTGATCCTGAGGAGAAGTATTTGCTATCAATTTTAAAAGATTTTAGTTTGTTTTCTTTTTAAATTTTGGCTTTATTTGTAATTTTGGTTTACTTTGTAACCTGTATATATATATATATATATATATATTTATACGCGAGTGTGTGCAGGCGCGCATGCCTGCGAACGTTCGTGGGTGCGAGCTTGCGAGCGTGCGTGCGCACGCGTTTCCTATATCATATGATATATAGATATGGCATGTATACAAATATATAATCTATATAAGTAAAACTTAATGTATACGGAAATTTTAAGCTATTATACTAGTAGTAGCTGTTAGCAGACTGTGAACAAAAATAATTTGAACAAAATGTAGATTAATGTAAATATTTACGGGGAGATGGCGCTGTTAGTTAAGATGGCTGAAGATAATACAATCTAAAGTATAAACCTATTTTGTGAAGTAAAATTCAGGATGCTACCCTAAAACGTTGTGTGATGTTTAGTGAACTGCTATCATAGGCCGGAGATATCAGTATTTTGTTAGCGAGGTATATTATTTAATAATATAACTTATAAATCGTGAAAGTTGGCACAGTTTATTTTAGATTTACAATAGTGAATAACATTACAAATACAATGATTCATGTCAAGAAAAGTCACACTCAATACAATGCCAATGCCAATGGCAATGGGTCAATAGTCAATAGCAGTTTTACCACCAGGCACCACCTCGTAATCTCGTAAGGATTAGTTTTTGAAATCCAAGCGACTATATTGAAGACGGAGTGTGACGACGAGTTGATTAAGTCGATACAACCGTAACAACGTTGATCACTTTGATAACTTGTAGTTGTACTTTTAGTTTTAGTTGTAGTTGTAGTTGTACTGTAGACTAGTAGTAGTAGTAGTACTAGTACTAGTAGTAGTAGGCTAACGCTGAGAGGGTCTATGTCCCCAGGGTACTGCCGGAACCCTGGTACTATCTAATATGCTGGACCGTACCTCGCCTACTCCACTAACGAGTCTAGGGAGTCGCCTACGCCTACTCCCTAACTCTAAGCCTAATTCTAACCCTAACCTTAACCCTAACCCTAACCATATCAAATTGTTACCAGGGTACCAACACTTGCCATGCATTATCAGCCTCTGAAATATTTTTTATCAATGTTATTCTGTATTAAAAGATGTGAATGGCACTGATTATGCAAAACTTCATCAGAACATAAAATAGTAAACTTGTAATGTTTGTTTTCTATTGTGCATGTCGTGTTCCCATTGACGCTGCCATGGTCTATGTCTCCCTGGGTACTGCCGGAACGTACCCTGGTACTATCTAATATGCCGGACCGTACCTCGCCTACTCCACTAACGAGTCTAGGGAGTCTCTACGCCTACTCCCTAACCCTAACCCTAACCCTAACCCTAACCCTAACCATGACCATATCAGTAGTTACCAGGGTACGTTCCGGCAGTACCCAGGGAGACATAGACCCTATCAGCCCCACTGACCAATGAAAACATCGCTAGTCCGTGGCAATGCGTTGAAATTACGAATGCAGTTTCTGTTCTGACAACAAACATAACAAGGTTACTATATCTGGCCACAAAACATTAACCATATTTGTATATGGAAGGTTCTCTATCTACCATCAGGTACAATATCGTTCCATGTTACAGTAATACTCTGTAATGCTTTTCAGAAAATAATGTTATGGCAAAATCACATTCTTCTACTGAATTCTGTTAACTTATTGGTGGACAATTACCTATGGAATATCTTTCAGCTAAGAGAAGGCGATATAAATACACTGCAAAAATTCTTAAAACATTAAATTATTTAAATATTCAAGGGTGTAATACAGTATTGGGATAACACTAGGACAGAAAGAGAGTTCAGAATTAAAATAACTAGATGGGAGGTGGAGAGATAGGATTGCCAGCTGGCTCGTTCATTACATTATCATCGTCAGAGTTTTGGGTGTTTCAAGCCCTGACTTTCATGCACAAAATTTATCTAAAGTTCGTTGCTGATCTTCTCTTTGTACAGCTCACTGTAGCTATAACCTGCGTTCATCGTGAACTGCTATTGGAATAATAATGGGTACAGTGGGGGACTGAATGCCGGAACACCTACATTTAAATATTACACATTTACAATGCACATATAGGTCAAACTGCCAAATGCGATAGCGTTACATTCCACGTATCAAAGAAAACATGCATCCCATGTTGGATGTTGGTTGCATATTTATTACATACATTTCATTTATGCTGATTAGCCATACCATTTTGAGTAAAATAACCCACTCAATCTTGTGACATATTCCCTAAGAGCAGATTTGTTTCATTTTCCGAGTTTAAAGCCACAATATGCGCATCTACACGCTAATTTCTCCAGTACTAGACTTCGTGTCATGCATAATCATACTACCTTATGACAAAATAAACTGTAGTTCCTCCCATTTCACTGCGTGTTGTCTTATAAAATGTATTTGGAAATACCTCCAATGTTGTTCAAATTCTCCGATGTTGTTGACACTTTCGCGTTGCTCTGCCAAGCAACCGTACTGCGGGTATAGCAAAGATTTCTACGGCCTGTGTGCGTTTTTCGCTCGTACGCTGCTAGCGCAATGACATATTATCGTTTGCGATATCAAGCCTAAAATCAATACGTTATTCTCAGAGTTTATTACGCTGCCTATTATTACTTTCCCAATAGCCATTGATGTTACATACACTGCAGTTCACAATACTACAACTATCTTAAAATGTAAACGACTATATTCTCTGCTCAACACCCGTAGCAACATGTGACGTCACCTAACCGATTTGGGGCGAAATTGCTTGGCAAACTTGCGGATTAATGTTACACTAATTGTTGCATATTGCAGGGTATCACTGTACTGTGATTGTGAGTTCTCGATTTGTAACCACGTTTTTCCCTTAATAAATTCTGAGCTAACCACAGTTTCCCTGATGTAAAAGTAAACACATTGCCAAATAATGTAACACCCTGTATATTAGCCATAGTTTGATTATTTCTATGATTTTGCACTTGTAGTCGATCAAATAATTGCCATTTGATTTAGGACACTGAGTTTATTGCAAAAGCTGCAAAGGTCGTGTTATTTTTCAAATTTAGTCGGACAGCTACTAGTTTTTAATAGGCGTGAATCCAATACCATACCTTCTGGATCCTCACATCGAGAATGCTGGGCATTGCTTTGTAAGAAGCTAAGATTTGTGTATAAGATTAGAAAGATATCTAGATGAATCCGAGGTTATGATTGTGTTACAGTGTACTCAACATTGAGCTTGGCTCTGGCTTGCATTGCAACCAGCGGTATGTAATGAACACACATGTTGACTGTATTCATGCTCATGTGCATATATTTACACGATTACAGGCATATGGAAGCAATGCGGGTTGCAAACATCTCTGCAGACATGTCGGGTAATGCAGTCATGCTCAGCGCTTCAGAAAACGAAGAGGATAACAACATTGAACAAGATGTTGACAACATACTAGAGAGCGCTTCTGCTGCCATGGTCACAGCTCCTGCACCACAGCCACTGTGTCCAAAACCTGCTGTCCAGTAAGATTCATGCTTACTCCTGCTTATGGTTTTCTATTGCTTAAAATATTACAACTTATCAATAATTAAATCATTTGTTCTTCGGCATTTACCAGTTGGTACCAAGAACCTATATTTATTATGAACACAGCAAACCCCTGAGTCAATTATAGTACACTAGTAGAGAAATAGTATGCAAAAGATTTACGGCACAATTATTTTAAATGCGTACAACTTTATAACATGCTCACATATGAAATGCAGGTCGATTACTATGAACCAACTGAGTGATTCAAGCTGGCAGTCAATGAAGTCTAGTATACGCGAACGCAACAATGTCATGTACAACAATGAGCTCATGGCTGACATCTACTTCATCGTCGGATCAAAAGGTAAGTTTGAGCTGGCTGTGCTTGTGTCAGGCATGGATAGGACTATTAGAAAAATCGGGCTAGCATTCAGTTTTGCAATGTCGGCAGAGGAACTACAGCAAATCTGACAGAATTTAGTTATTGCAAAAGTATTGAGGTTTTACAACAACATAATTAGCCTATAAAAAGACAATGAGCAGGAGAGCGAATTTATGTTAATACTCTGTTCCATCTTTGTAAGAGTATTTTTGCTGTGTGATGATTAACCAATGTGACATAAACCAACCTTGCTGTTTCAAGCCAGACCCGTGCACTGTTTCGGTTAAAAACCTATGCAGCATTTTTGTGAAGACCCTTCTATGTTAATATTGCACGTTTATTTCCAATTTGTGTACACCATGGTAAGTCGAACCATTGTCATCATGTCAGATGTTGGTCGCCCCTACCAAACATATTTTAAGGCGGTGGTAAATAGCAATTATATTAGCTAGCGATTATATTACTGCCCTATTACCCCTGCTTCATCGCAAAGTTTTTCCTTGGCAGGTCAGACACAGAGGATTCCTGCTCACAAGTATGTGCTCGCTACAGGGAGCTCTGTATTCTATGCCATGTTCTATGGACCCCTGGCTGAGGACCGGCAGGAGGTAGCAATTCCTGACGTTGAACCCGCAGCATTTCTTGCCATGTTGAGGTGTGTACTGGATTATTGCCAAGAAATGAATAACATTAGTTATCAGCATCATCTCTAATGTATCCAACATTATTGTCATTATCACTCAATCAAACGGTTTGTGGCGCACGTGGCATTGTACACACATGCACAGTGAATCAACAGGATATGTACAGGGTACAAATTTTCTTGTTACACGTTATTATTTCTATCACTGATGTGGTACTATATAATTATTTCATAGTATAGTAGGTATGAATGGAATATAATTAATAAATGGTTCTGTAGAAAAATGAATTTCAAATGCAAATTTTTAAGCATATTGTAGATTTTATGTCTGTTGGCAGTGTATCCGTTTACGTGTTGATGATTTTCATTGCAGGTATCTGTATACGGATGAGATAGAACTTGAGGCAGACACTGTACTGGCTACTCTGTATGCAGCAAAGAAGTACATCCTGCCTTATCTCGCGGGGGCCTGTGTCAAATTCCTAGAGACGAGTTTGACTGCGAAAAATGCCTGCCTATTGCTGAGTCAGAGTCGGTTGTTTGAGGAACCAGAACTCATGGAGCGGTGTTGGCAGGTAGGTGTATACAGTGTGGCCTACTGATTGTTTGCTGCAGGGGTGGGGGAAACCTGTTTCTAGGGAAATGCTACAGACCTTCATAGTGAGAGAGTCATCTTCCTACAATGACCCTATCCACATACGGTGGCACAGGATCAACAGTGGAAGCTTTTGTTACTGTTTCTGACATGCATTTTTTTATTGTATATTATAAATGCAGTTTCTCATGTACAGCATTGTTTTATCATCTCATTATGTAGAACTTTTTTTTTCACTATTTCTCATGCACAAAACCTTTCCATTTCTCACACTTTTCGCAACATTTTTAAAACCGTTACTCGCGCGCGGCGTTTTCTACCGTTTCTCGTGTACCATCGTCTCTCATACCATTTTTCGTCGTTACTCACGTGAGGCTTTTTTATCGTTTCTCGTACGCGGCATTTTTTAATCGTTACTCGCGTCTTTTCGACCGCTCCTCAGGTGATTGACGCGCAGGCGGAGAAGGCGATCGAGTCGGACGGCTTCACGGAGATCGACTACCACACGCTGGAGACGGTGCTCAGCCGCGAGACGCTCAACGCCAGCGAGCTGTCCATCTACAACGCGGCCGTGCGCTGGGCCGCGCACGAGTGCGGGCGCCGCGAGCTTCCGCCGAGCGCCGAGAACAAGCGCGCGGCGCTGCAGCGCGCGTTCCACCTCATCCGCGTGCCCGTCATCGCGCTGACCGACTACGCGGACGACGTCGTCGGCTCGGGCATGCTCACGCTGCGCGAGGCCACCGACGTCTTCCTCTACCACACAGCGACGCGCAAGCCGGCGATCGACTTCCCGACGTGCGCGCGCGACGGCCTCAAGCCGCGCTGGTGCCGCCGCTTCCAGTCGTCGGCGTACCGCACGAACCAGTGGCGCTACCGCGGCCGCTGCGACAGCATCCAGTTTGCGGTGGACGCGCGCGTGTTCGTCGCCGGCTTCGGGCTGTACGGCTCGAGCAACGGCTCGGCGGCGTACACCGTGCGGCTGGAGCTGAAGCGCGCCGGCGGCATGCTCGCCGAGAACAGCACGCACTTCTTCTCGGACGGCTCGAGCAACCCGTTCGCCGTCTACCTCGACCATCCGGTGCAGATCGAGCCGGACCAGTTCTACACGGCGAGCGTAGTTCTCGACGGCACCGAGCTCAGCTACTTCGGGCAGGAGGGCATGAGCGAGGTGACGTGCCACGGCGTCGCCTTCCAGTTCCAGTGCTCGTCGGAGAGCACCAACGGCACGGGCGTGCAGGGCGGACAGATACCCGAGATCATATTCTACGCCTGACGACGCTGCCGCGGCGTGTGCGCGCGGGAGCGAGGGGTCGGCGGTGGCTCGTGAAGGTGTTGGTTGTGGGGCGCGATGGCCTCGCGTTAGCTCGAGTACGTCGGCGTTCTGTTATTTGTGCTGATAGCGTGGGAATTTTAGCCCTCGATTTATAAAACTCTCGTTTCCTTTGGATACGCAAAAAATCACGTGTAAATTATATGTTCCTTATTTTATAGTAAAGCTACTTGCAGGCAAGGATGGTTTATACTGGTTGTAATGGAAAGTTGAAAAGGGCGTCTGTATTATGTTATTGTCCGTGATATCAAATGACTATTGAGTAGATTAGGTAGCGATATCACGATGATAAGAGTAATATAAAACCTAATATTTTTTAAACTAGAATTTGGTAATATAAAGTTATAGAAGTCTTGTATCTCAAAGGTATGCAATGCATACACATGAAAATCTGTATAGTGAATGATTTACAGTAAGTTATTGGTAAACGTTGCTGAGAATATGGCTTGTTTTAAGTGGCCGAATTTCATCAGTTTTTGAGTGTTAAAAAACTAAAAATCAATGTCTTTGGGATTCACTCCACAAAATCTCATCTGATATTTATAAAAACATTTTAAGAATTCCAAGTAAATAACGTTGGCCAGTACATGAAAATAGAAAAGCATTAGGTTCTATCAAAACGTTTCTATGAAACCTCATTGATTTAAAATATAAAAAATGTGTCATCTGTTGTGGATGTTCACATATCCGGTCATGTTTTGATCATGTAAAGACAGACACAATACCTCCTCCCCACCAATGGAATGATTCTATGTGGGCATTTGAACAACAAACAAAGTTATTTTTATGTTCAGTGATGTGGCCATACAGTTACGGCCACCACATCACAATGGGAACAATGATGGCGCTATCGTCCATCAAATCCTACAGTTGGATATTATTTTAGTGTATGTAGATATGTAGATATGTGTGTGTGTGTGTGTGCGTGCGTGCATGCGTGCGTGCGTGCGTGCGTGCGTGTCGGTGTGAGGTGCGTGCGGGCGAATGGGGTGTGTGATGTATCCCTCGTGCGTGCGTGTGTGTATATGTATATATATATATATTTCAGCATTCATTCCTCCGTAGAAAAGAAGAATGATAAGTGTCGTGTATTACAGCACCATTTATCATACTAAAGTGTTGTGAATTCTTTGGCAGTCTGTAGATGATTTCATAGATCTTGGTTATTTTATCAAAATATACATAAGTAAATCTGTGAATACAAGTAATAGTTTAAGTTGTAAAAGTATAGCTTTTATTTGGGTATATGATATGATTTTGTGTTGAAAACTGTTTTATGCAGATCGAAAACTAAATTATTATATTTTAGAAGTAGAACATTTAATATGAAATCTTTATGTGCGCATGCATGATTGTACGAGAAATATTAATATTTTCATAGATGATATAATATGTAGATTGTTGAGAAATTTCATTATAACTGAAATTATTTAATCAAGATGACAACGCGCTTTACTTTTTTAGCTCATCTGACTAGTGCAGATGGGCAGATTGTAGATCGCACGATTCGGTGCGTGCGGTCCGTCCGTCCGTCGGCCCGGCCGTCCGTCCGTCAACGCTTCGGGCACAAATTCTTAACCGCTCGACGTACGCGTCACGTTATTCGGCACTTCAAGGGGATTCAAACGATGTTGGGATGTCGAAGCTGGGGTCAAAGGTCACAGGTCAAGAGTGGTAAAGAAGGGGGAACATTCACTCCTTAACTTAGGTATAGGAGAAATGCAGAATTGCGCACAAATCTAACGGCGTCGACCTAGGCTCGTGATAGTCGGGTGTTTAGGCATCATGGTAGGACGAAGCACACTGCTGCCGAATTGGAGGTCACGGTCAAAGGGTCAATGGGCACTAGGGCAGATTTTAGACTTTCTTTTTTTTTTGGGGACATGGTCTGACGGCAGCGATTGAAAGAACGTTTTGTTTCAGCGTGACCTAGCTTTTTTGGCTTTATTAAAGACATGAAATGTCCCTTCTGCTGACATGCGAAGGAGTAAGTGTCGGATAAACCTTTTTGACCCTCACAAGGAGGCGTTACTGGAATTTGTTTACTGTCTGTGTAGAAAGAATTTGATGCCGGGTTTGCTAGGGTAGATCTATTACATGCCTGGATGTCGAGGCTACATGTCACAGTGAATTTAAAAGCCGAATTTGGTTGAAGAAGGCTTTATGGCTCCTTAATCTTATAATTTCTATGGGGTCTCGGTCGAGCGGCGTGTGGGTGGTGTCGGCGCTCGACGGATCAATTAGTCGTCTCACATGATACCTAAATCGAGTAACTGTGGAGCACACCAACTAGCATGGTTCTGGGGTGGTGGGCGGTGTGTGGAGTATTCTGTACTGTCAGTATTTTACATGTAACGTATGCCATGCCAGTGCATGGTCTGGTTGGTGTGTAGTTTTGCCTGCGCTTAAATTAGTTACGGACTGCAGCTCTCTATTGCAGCTGTAGGCTCTGCGGTAGGTAAATGGATGCGTGCTTACCTATTCTGTCGTTGCAACTAGTTGTTTGCTACTACGTACGATGGGAGCTTCCCATCTTTATCTGAAGACACTTAAAACCCGCGGCCATGCTCGTGGCGAAACTTTCATAACGATCCGCAACGAAACATTCCTTTGAGAAGGCTTCGTGATACTATCCCGTGCGGCATTCCACTGTTTCGCGCTTGTATGTGAACACATTTGGGACTTACAGGGTTTACTAGAATCCCACCACTCCACCACAGAGTCACCGCAGTAGACGTTAGATGAGCGCTGTCGCTCCGCGGCACTTGTTAATGATTTGCTATAATTTAATGCTCGTTCTGGTGCACGAGTGTTTAGTGTACACATGTATATAGATATGGGTGAGGAGTCAAACTTAGGAGCTGCCGTAGGATTAGATGAAGTCGGACCACACAGACATAGTGAGAAGTATCTTATTGCTAAATGTTGTAAGCGGTTTTGCACATTTAAAAAAATTGTTTTTTGGAAACTTTAAAGTGAAACTGTAGCTATTGTCACACACGCGCACGCACAGTCACGAACGCGCACGCACAGTCACGAACGCGCGCGCAGGTACGTACACGGGTATTCGCCAGTGATCCCATCGTCTCATTCACCGTCACATTCATAACGGGAGCGTAAAAGTGCAAGCAATAATTATAATTAATAACTAATTCACCAATCACTTATCATATATTTCTATTATTTTCATGAGGAAATAGTCCCCTTCTAGAACTGCCATGCTTCATCCCACATCTAAGAGGGCGTTCTCATGCTATAGACCGAGAAGGTAGATTTCGGCCTCTCTACATAATAAGACCAACATCATAGCGCAGTTTGGTAATTTAATCAGGCAGTTTCCGAGAACCGTTCATTCAGCAAACGTTTTTCTATACGTGCTTTCTGAAGATGACTTTCAAAATTATGACGCGGGTATAATAGTTATTTATCGATTTCCAGCCAGTGACCTATACATAGTGGCAAGCAATGTGCCCTCCTGTGATACAGTACAGGACGGCTCGTGGGACTGAATAACTATTTATTAAAATGTGTTTTTTCGGAAAAACGCTAACACAAACCTTTTTGCACCTGTCAAATATTTAATACAACATCGCGAATCAATTATGACTCGCGGTCTTTTACGTGTTACAGCGAGGCGCTATACATAGATGCGAGCATTTTGCGCTCTTTAATTCGAATACAGATAGTCCAATATCTCTGCATGATTCTTCACCAAGCATTTCACACAAAACTTGCATAAATTTAAAAGTAAATGAATACTTTAACACGTAGCACGTAGTATAGCACTTTAACGCGTAGTAGAATCGAGTAAATCTCTTGTGATCGTCTGGAGGTTACGCATTTGGTGTTATTATGTACGGTAAGTTCAGTAAGAGATATATGATATGCACCGGTAGATAGACCTTTCTCCCAAACAGCGTCGCATTACGTCGGCTGTAGGACCTACTGGGAGATGAGCGAATTTTAAGTGAAATTAGTATCTAAAATTTAAAATGTATTTAAAAACTTGGTGAATTATTAGAGAAGTTACGTGATCCTACGTAACAAAATCCAGTCGGATTTTTAAAACTTGGAAAAAACGCAATGACTTACGCGGTCTGATCAGTAAATTCAAAACCACGAATCAATTCATTTCCAATTTAGTAACGAAAAACCTGTCAGATTATTTATGTGAACGAAAATCAATAGTGTGGTGCAGAAAGAAACGTATCAGCTTGATAAAAACGCAAACCAAAATTTATAAAACTAACGCATGCATGCATTATATATTTGTGGTTATATACCGTGAAACCCTTGCCGGTATTCTCGTGTGCGTTTCAGTGTGAAGTGGATCAACTTTGTGAACGTTCTATCTTTCTTTGTGAAGCATTTTACAAATAATTATTTAAATTGTAATTTAATTATTGATATAACATGTAAGTTAGTATATGTATACATATGAATAACCGGGCAACATATGCATCATACACCGGCGGGCAGAACTGTCACTTTTATTATGGTACACTCTTTGTCTATAGGCCTACATGAGGACCTCATGAGCACCTTTACATAAACGCAACCATTCCATAACCATGTAAGAACACGCGGTGCGGATATAATTAAATTTACAATGCAGTGAAATACGCGATACAAGTTGTACGTGAGCACAAATCTGTGAGGTGAGAATGCGCAAGAAGACGCTATAATGCATAAAGAATTTAAATGCGGCTAGATCGTCGCTGACTAGCATATCATTCTGCGCAATTTCAGAGCATACGGCATGATGTTATTTAACGATTCCCACCGATATTGTTATTGCGGCGATTGACCTCTCTGTTCCAGGCGTTTATTGCGACCCTCAGTATCTACTAATTACTATTACTGAGTGGATTACGGGTGCTCGCCTATAACATTAACATTTCCTAACAATGTTCTACATGCATTCTTCTAAATACATTCTGTATTCCTTCCGCATTACTACCGATACTACTTTACCAGCGGCACTTGGCTTTGATCATAGATATCATCAGGAGTTAATAAAGACAAACATTTCTCTTTCAAACTAATTTTTTAACTCTTTTGAAACAAATTTGTCTTCATTAACTCCTGATATCATATATACATACACAGCTTCGTGTGCGCGATTCCTGCCACTAGATGTCACTGAAATCACTTGAGGCGAAGCTCGAATCTCATAGCCGCTAGTTAGAATAAAAGGACAGTTGCGGATGAAAGTAACACTTCTCTGTCTATTTCCACTGACATACACTATTGAAAATACTAAACAAACGAGCTACTTCGCACCAATTAATTTCTCGCCATTTTATAAATGACGGTTAAAAAATTGTGTTATCTATTTCGACTGCAATCGAGGGATTGACATGTCCACAACGTACGTTGAGACATTTCTCTGACTTGATCGGATGATAGATTTTCACTAAATCCATTTACAGCGCATTTCTAGTTCAACCGTATTGATTTAAATTCGAAAATTTGGCGCAATTAATTGCAGTCATGATTATATTCATGTTACTGAAAATCGTGCAAATGTTGCGGTAAATATGTTAGACTATTATATAATATATCAAGAGTACATAATATAGAGAATCTCTATTATGTACTCTTGAATATATGCAGCCGG